TAAATATATTTTATTTTATAAATATATATTATGAGGTATATTCATTTTTTACTGTTTAAAATCTTGTGTGTATATTTATATTTTACAATTTAAAATTCTGTATTTCTTCCATCTATGTTTGATTTAATGTGATCTTATATAAGATAAACATGATAACTAAAAATATGATGAATCATTTTGATTTTATTTTTAATTCTATTCTCGAAAAAAATATAATTAAGTAATTATAATTTATTAATGATTAACCGATGGTTAACCATTTATTGAAATTCATTAACCATAATTGTAATCATTAATCGATATTTTTAACAGTTCAGTTAACCAAAACCGTTTAATATTAACGGTTTGGTTAATTAACCTATAAAATATAATAATTACACTAATTAATGGTTACGATTAACTATAACATATTAATTTGAACACCCCTACTCATGGTGGTCTTCGTTTTTTCTCACTATAGTTGATGACCAAACTAGGATGATCTGGATCTATCTTTTGAAGCATAAAGATGAAATTGTCATCTATCTAAAACAAATTTTGGCCTTGGCTAAAACCCATTATTCTGCTGCTGTCAAGATAATTAGGTCAGACAATGGGTCAGAGTTTTTTAAAAAAGTTTGTTCTCCTTTTTCCCTCCATGGGTATAGTTTATCATAGTTTTTCTGTTAGAAGCCCTCAGTAGAATGGGGTTGTTGAGAGGAATCATAAACATATTTTAGAAGTTGCTAGTGCCCTTAGATTTCAATCTAGAATACCAATTAAATTCTGGAGAAAATGTATTGCAGCTACTTGTTACTTGATCAATAGGTTACCTTCCACTGTGCTTGATCAGAAATCTCAATTTGAAATGCTATACAAAAAACCATCATCTCTCTCTCATTTGAAATTTTTTAGTTGTTCGTGTTATGCAACCATTCCAAAGCCTACTGATAAATTTTCACCTAGGTCTGTGCCTGCTGTTTTTGTAGGATATTCCCTACTGATAAATTTTCACCTAGGTCTGTGCCTGCTGTTTTTGTAGGATATTCCCTACTGATAAATTTTCACCTAGGTCTATGCCTGCTGTTTTTGTAGGATTCCCTACTGATAAATTCTTTTCAACCTTGAAACAATTTTTTTTTAAATGATGATGTAATTTTTTATCAGGACATTTTCCCATTTCAGCTTGTTTCCAATAGTTCTTCTCATTTGTTTCCATCTCACCCTTTTGTTTCATACTCAGAATTTTTACAACTTACTTTCCCCCTAGTACCTGCACCACAGTCACCTGAACCCTTGTTGCCAGCCTCTATATCTTATCAATCACCACCTATATCAACATCACATTCTCCTAAACCTTTGTTACCTGCATTTGTCTCTTCTTTTAGAGACAGTGCCTACTCTTTTTTTAGAGTCTGATCTTACAGAAAATGTTCCTAATGCTTCAACAGGTGGTCTAGGTTAGAGGATTGTTCCTGCAAGGGTTTCTTTTAGGGTGTCTAGGCCTCAACTTGGCTTAATGATTGTCGTAACATTTTTTCCAAAACGAAAATGATTTTTATTTTTTAAGTATAAAAAATTTATATATTTTGAAAGTCTAATAAATTATAAATAGGAGTCGACATAGGTTAGATAGGTCGAGTACCTAAAATATCTTCAAAAATAATTTAAATAAATAAAAAACATTTTTTTAAACAAATTAATTTACGTTCATAAGAAATTCATTTTTTAGGGATCGAAAGTTGGTAATGCGTGGGGAAGGGTAAATACCTCCATATCACCCAAAATTAATACTTAATCGCTTATAAATTATCGTGGTAGTGGAATTGAAGAATGCTAGAAATCAAGAGTTATATAATGATTTACTTTATTGCTCAGTAATTAATTTGTTTCGATCTATAAGATATATTCCCTATCTTGAGAAGAAGTAACATAATTTGCACGTCCTACAATGAGAAGACTTTCCCATCTACCTCTCCCTTATATGAGAATATTCCCCTATAATTTATTTAGGATCTCTCAATAAACATGAATCCAATAAAAATTTTAAAAAAATTTAAAGCAATATATAAAAAATAAACAAATACATGGTTATTATTAAAATAAGATAATTATTATCACATTTGAGCATACTCAATTACTTTCAAGTTCGATTTCATTTGAATGTCGTATTAAATTGTACTACCTCGATTGGTTGTACTTTTCACGCCCATTCTATGAAATATGTTCTTGAAAATTTATACGAACATATTTATGAAAACTAGTGATCATTATTGCTTAATCTGAAGGGCATTTTATCATTTTTTATAAATATATTTAGGGCACATGAATCATATTAATACTCAATAATTTAAAGATCATTGATATTAAGTGAATGAAATTAATAGAAAAAATCAAAACTATACTAGGACTATAGGGACCTGTTGACAATAATCTCATCTTATTTTATGATAACAAAACCAAATCGATGAATAAAATAAGTCTCAACAAATTACGGTGGTTCATAGCTGCAATAAAACATTTTTAACACCTTCTTACACATAGGACTAAAATGCTACGAATAAGAAATCGATGAGGCCAATCAAGCATTTAACCAAAGCATATAGACATTCACATAGTGATGAAAATGTAAACACATCAAATTTCGGAGCTCGAAATAAAAGAAGTAAAACTCTTATTCGAGGACTAAAATAGAATGTTACAAAGTTTAAGACCCTTCCTACGTGATTAAACCATGCGCTAAATGCATGTTTTTTTTCATCCTCAAAATGTTCTTTACAGAGATATCCTATTTCAAATCAAATTTCCTATTCTCATCTTCCTTCTCATACTCAGAATTGTGTTTCCTCTATTTCTACCTTGTCTGAACCTAAAACTTATCATGGCGTCAAATCTGACCCCCATTGGGTCAAAGCAATGTATGATGAAATTCGGGCTCTTGAGTTGAATAGAACTTGGTTTTTGGTTTTCCTTTGTCACTTGGGAAGGCTTGCATTGGATGTAAGTGGGTTTTCAGAATCAAATATAAGGCCTCTAATAAAGTGGAGAGGTTTAAAGCTAGGCGTGTGGCCAAGGGGTATCATCAAAATGAAGGCATTGATTTTGTTGACACTTTTTCTCCTGTTGCTAAGCTCACTACAATTGGATGTCCACAATACCTTCTTGCAAGGTGACTTGTTTGAAGAAGTATACATGGAACTGCCCTAAGAAGGGACAATGTGGTATGTAGGCTGCAAAAGTTCTTGTATGGCTTAAAACATGCCTCAGGGCAATGAAATGCAAAGCTGACTGGAGCATTAATTACAGTTGGAAATAGTCAAAATAAGCATGACTATTCCACGTTCACAATATATCAATGTGATAAGATATTGGTTCTTTTGGTCTATGTTGATGATTTGTTAATCACAGGAAATGATGGGAGTATGATTGTTGAACTCAGAGAAGTATTACATATGAATTTTAAAATGAAAGATTTGGGGGAGCTAAAATATTTTCTTCTCTTGGAAGTGTTGTGGAACAAAGAAGGGATTATCTTGAGTCAAAGTAAATATGCTCTTGAGTTTATACAAGATTTCGAGGAAGGGGGAGCAAAGCCAACCTCAACACCTCTTGAGTAGAATGTTAGGCTTACAACAACTGGTTTTGACAGATATGCTCAGTAAAAGAATAAGAAGGAAGAAATATTTTTGTTGATAAGGCAAAATATCAATTATTGATTGGAAGGTTATTGTATTTAACTCACACTAGGCTAGACATAACATATTCACTACAAAACTCAAGTCAGTTTATGCATCAACCTAAGAAGGAACATCTGGAAGCAGCTCTTAGGGTGGTTAGGTACATCAAGAAAAATCCTGGTCTAGGTATTTTCTTGGAAGCTTCAAGTGATTGCCAGATTATAGCTAGTTGTGATTATAACTGGGGAACATGTCATATGATAAGGAAGTCATTGATCTCTTGAAAGTCCAAGAAGAAAAGTACAGTAGCTAGGTCTTCTGCAGAAGCATAATATATAAGCATAGCAACTACAGCTTCAGAGATATTTTGGTTGAAGGGTCATTGTTCAAAGCTTTTCAGTGACAGTTAGGCAACCTTGTAGATTGCTGCTAATCCTGTATTTCACGAGAGGACAAAACATATAGACATCAATTGTCACTTTGTTAGATAAAAGATCACGAAAGTTATAGTCCAGACTGAACATGTAAATACCACTGAACAACATGCATATATTTTTACTAAAACACTTAGAGTAACACAACATGAGTAATTTTCATCCAAGTTATGGGTGACAGATGTGTTTTCATCCACTAACTTGAGAGGGAGTGTTGAATGATAAACTGTTATAAGTTAGTTAGGAAGTTATAAGTTGGTTAAGTTGTAAATAATTATTTTTATCAAGTGTAGCTAGATAGTTCAACATATATCTATGATGTACTTTTGTAAAGTAATAAGATGCACGAGGTTTTATTCATATGAATAATCTTTATTTTATAAGTTTTAACAGTGTGATGAGTTCCCCCTGTATTTGAAGCATTTACCGTAGATTCCAAAATAATTTTGAAAATGGTCAAATGGGCTAAATTTTTTAACCCAATGGCCTATTGGGTCAATTTAGCCAATAAAATCTTACACTGCTACTTGATAACTTGAGTTGTGACATTGGCTTTGATAGCTAGCTGTGATTTTGCTTTTATTTGAGCCCTAGCTTTCTCTTAGGTTGTGCTCTTTCTCCAATTTAGTCAATTCACGTGCATCGACCGTGAAGCAAATAAACCTTGCTGATAAATTAGCTCACTTAGGCAATGAAAACGATATGGATCTGTCCGTCTTTCAGGATCATCCGTTAGAAGTGTTGGGTATACTTAATGCTGAATGCCCCAGAACTGCTACTAGCTAATCTACTAGTGTCTTAGTGGCTCCCTTTTTTACCAAATAAAAGTATGATTTTGAACCATAATTTAGGTATTTTGCCATCCCTGTCTTCCTTCTTTTATGCTATGGCATCCATCAACTTAGAACAAATGGTTGTTATATCTGATGCCTACTAATAACTAGTATAGCATTGAAAGAGCATATTTGTGAGTCCGTCCTAAAGGCACAAGGGAGTTATGTACTCATCAGCAGATGAGAGTTTCTACAACATCCGTACAAGTATTTAGTATTGTCCTAATCAATTGACATCGGTGAAAGGAGTTCTATTGGGCGACAAACTTGTAACATGCTGCTGGATTTTACTCTCATTGTTGCCCCATTTTGATCTGTTCTTCTCCAAGTTGTTTTCTTCTCCTTCGTCATCTTCGAAGGCCGTTGGCGTCCTCATCCCTTCGATTGATACTAAGCTGGGCACGACTATGTCTCGCTTCTTCGGCTTTGTATGCTGATCAGCCTACTCAATAAACACCAATTATATGTTTATGTAATAGTTTCACCGGCAGCTGAACTTATTATATATATATACATGGAACATACCAAGTAGTCTTTTGTGAGGCATTTCTCGGCTTCACTTCTGATATACGAAATGCTTTCACCATGCTTTTCTTGCACTGTTTTTAGTTGATCTACGCAACTGTTTGTAACGGAGTCTATTTTCTTCTTACATTCATGGTCATGAAGTTGTGAATCTGCAGATGGATATTTACAGAGTTAGAATGAGAATAAAGTGCAGTTCTAAAATGACAATCTTGCACTAAATGTACAAATAAGTTGTATTACCATTGATTGCAGCCACTATATCTCCAGTTCTAGTGCCAAACTCTGCATCCGTCAAGGATATTACGGATAAAAGTTCTTCATGTGCTGCATTATTTCTTCTGATATTTACACTGCCGATGTAATGAGAAGAGAATTTAGCTCAGAATAGACCTCTAACGTTGAAAACAAGGAATAAAACAAGGAACAAAAAATGCTTACCTAACACTAGATTTAACCTCTGCAAGGCTGCTTGCATTAAGTTCATTTATGCATGTCTTAGCATTTTCCCACTGTTGCCTAGAAACATTAACTCTTTTCGAGCTGCATTAAATGAACAGATAGGATCAAATAAATTGGATAGAGAACTAGCTATTGCCTAGTTGCGCACCAATTGATTTTACAGAAGCAGAAATTTGTCAAATGAAAACTTACCATTCTTGAAGGCCATCTTCCATAATGCTTGCAGATTCAGCCGCTGAGAAGCTGTCTTCCACAAAATGAGTTTCCACCTTTTTTATATACTTGCACATTTCCTTCCCAACATCTGCTGAAACCTGTTGCAGCATGGACATCTTCCGCTGCAATATTTTATTATCTTGAATATTCGAGTCCTTCATGCGTCCTGATGCCTCCGAGACCTAATAAAATTATTTCTATAAGCAAAAACTCCATGTATATATTTAGGTTTTGCAAGATAACGAAGGGGCAGATACTTACCATAGCATTTCTATTAGATGTCAAAGTTGCTAATATTGCTGCAATCTTTTCCATAGCCTGCGTTTCCTCACTAGCAGCTTCTTCCTGTTTCACGGCAGTTCAATTTCATTATTAGCCTTTATTATTTCCCCATATCAATCATGCATGTAATATCAACTTGCCTTGAATCTGTTTTCGAAATTTGTTATTTGCAGAGATTTCTTGGTTTCGATTTCCTCAAGGGTTGTCATGAATTTGGAAGTTTGATTATTGATGTCAGTCAGAAAATGAAATGTTGCCTTGGATATTTCTTGTGCTGAAATCAAGTTGCGGTGCAATCCCTGTCATTATCCAAAAATATGAGAAAAAGCCAAGAGAGTGAGTGTGTGAATGAAATTGGAAAATATATGCCCACCTCTTCTTGTTGTCGAGCGGCAGAAACCAATAACTCCTTTTGTTCATTAAGAGAATTCTGGAGATCCTCAAGAACCTCTTTGGCTTCCATCACCACAGTGACAAGGAACTTCAAGATCAATTAGCACAGCGGTTAGGCAAATCAGAATCACATACTTTCTATAAGCAACTTAAAAAAGTAGTGTTTCTGGATAGCATACTTTCTCAATGGCTTCTATTTGAGATGAAAATGAAAAATGCATTTCCTCCATGTCGGAGGAAGCGTTCCTTTGGATTTTGTTGGCAAGTTCCTTCATTGTTGCAACTCCTGATGCATATGTCTCTGTCATACTCTGAACCTTAGATTCCAAGGCTTTGGTTGCCTGCCAATATTTCACAAATCACGAATCAGAAGTAATGTAGCCACATGCTATAGAGTAAGACAAAGCAAAATTTTCCAAATCTTACATCACATTTACTGGCAATAAATGAATGAGCATGCCAATATTTCACAAATCACGAATCAGAAGTAATGTAGCCACATGATATAGAGTAAGACAAAGCAACAAAACTTTTCCAAATCTTACATCACATTTACTGGCAATAAATGAATGAGCATGATCTTCCATGCTTCTCAGTTGTTGCTGCTGAAGAGAAACGGAGCCCAGGATGGTCTTGTGCAAATCTTGTAGATGCTGGTTGAGCTGAGAACCAAACGTTAAAACAATGCTTCGATTTTCTGCTTCCATCTTGTCCTTATCATCTGTGCAGGAAAAACATATTTATATTTAAGGGCTCTGGAATAATGGAGGTGGAACCTTTTATATAAAAGGCATTTCACTTCTTTGTCCGTTCTAAAAACATGGTGTCTGGCAGATGCAACATTCTGTTACATCTCCTTATAACAATGGATGATTGGCAATTGTTTTGACATACACCATGGGACTTAGAAAGATGATATTTCAAAGGGAAACCTTAAACTGATCGTAACCAAGAATAAGAACAGTTATTATACCTAGTTTTGTAAAAAGTGAATTTATGTCCTCTGATGCATGTTGCAAATCAGTACGTAACTCTTTTGCCCTTTCGATCAAAGAATTTTCTGTTCATAAACAAATTGTCATTGTTAGTAAATAAGAAAAATGGACAATGAAGATTTCCAGAATTGATTCTGGTACCTGAGCATAGCAGTTTGGAGATGATGAATTCCTTTTCTTTCAGTGTCTGGATGGCTACCCTGTGATTCTCTTGAAGATTAAGCAATTCTTTCCTATTCTTTTCGATATTTATCTGGAGAAACAACATCAATTTACAATCCGGAAATTGCCCAGAATTGTAAGAAAAAAATATTAATTTTTCCAGTACATGCTTACCTTGCAATCCTTCAGGTCACTTTCTAAGTCAAATCTTTGGTCTTGCTCAGTGAGATACAGCTCATGATAATTCTTAGCTTGCTGCATGAAGAAGAAAAATATAAATAATACATCGCAAGAAAAGAGTGAAAGTAAAATAAGTGGGAATCAACCTTCTCACTAAGGTTGAGATCATTCTCGAGTTGCTCTATCTTCTCCATCCTTGCCTGCAAGGTTATAAGTAAAAATTCAAATCAATACCCTCCAGCCTACATAAAGAGTGAAGATCATTCTTTGAATAACAAAAGTAAAGTTTTTTTCTTTCAAATTGGAGGAAATTACTTATGCATTAAGAACAGTTTACCTTCTTTTCGGCTTCTTCTTGGAGAAATCTTTCATGTGGGATGTAAACGCCGTTCTTGTCCCTAGCTGCTCGAACATCTGGATCAATTTTGTCTTACATGAGTAAGAATGAACATTGTATTTTTGTATCAATCAAAGGACACTGAGATTGTAAGTGCTGCTTGCCGTACCTTCTTTCTTTTTCTCAATTTCCAAGTACAGATCTTTAAGCAACACAGCCTTGGACATTTTCTGGTTTGCCTGAAATCACAAGCCTTTTCTTTAGTAAATTACATACAAACAAACACATAAACAATTAAATAGATCAAAAGAGGCATTTATATCAACCTCTGGCCTATTTTTTATATTCTTAGCCCGATAGGCATAATCTAAGGTGCTCAATGTTTCTTCTAAAGAATGAGAAGATGGAGATATTGTAGCAATAATGCAGGTCTTTGTTTTCCCTCCCAAAGAATCTCTCAAGAGCCTTGTCAGCTTACTATCCCTGCAAAGAATGTTGGTAACGGAAACAGTTACTAAAACAAACAAGCAACTCAATGTGCAAAAAGGACTTTTGAGGACGCAAACCTGTATGGTATATGAGCTGAATGCTCCACAAGTGCACTTATGACACGGCCAAGGGTAAGTAAGCTCTTGTTAATCTCTCCTGCTTCCCTTGCACGACCCTGCAAATTCAATTTGATGAAAAAACTTGACAGCTACTGATTAAAATAAACCCATCATTATAATTTATATATGTATATCCATTTACTAATCATACTTATAATTGGTAATTAACCATGTATCAAAGACATGTCAAATTCCAAGACTAATCAATATAATAAATTAACCATTTACTGATTAAAATAAACCCATCATTATAATTTATATATGTATATCCATTTACTAATCATACTTATAATTGGTAATTAACCATGTATCAAAGACATGTCAAATTCCAAGACTAATCAATATAATAAATTAAATACCAGGTAATAGACTTCAAAACTAAAATTCACATTTCCATACCTCTCGAGCACCTGAACGAGAAATATTCTCAGACCCTGCCAAATCGACCAGATTAAGCTTGCCGCATTTTATCATTTCCTCATCTCCCACAGCCGTTTCTTTAATGTGGATGGTGATGGAAAACACAGAATGAGAACGGCTTCATGGCAAAGAAATTGACTTTAGTCAAAAGGTTCTTAAATACCAAGCATGATATTAACAAATGAAACAAACAGATCCAACCTGCTGCGCTTGTTTAACAAGGTATCGGCAGTACGTCTTTTGGCCGCTCCACGTTCCAAGATAGTGTAGATTTCATTAGCAGAGTATACAGCTTCTTCTTCTAGACCTCTCATAATAACAGAACCCTTTCCGTCTTCCATCAAAGAGATTGGTTTTCTTTGCCTATCTTCAGCATATCTTGGACTCTCATCAGGAGCCAGCAAATCAGTTATCTCCTCATTGTAAAGCTCCAAAAATGTAACTTTCATGCTATAATCAGCATTTTGGGCCTCTAAGGTATCAAATATTTGTCTCACTGCTCTTGGAATAACACCGGCCTCAGCAGGCAAGTCCCCACCCTGTATTTAAAAATAAATCCTTAAACATAAAATGGTGCATCAAATTACAAAATCTCAACAAAACAATGATTCGATAACGATCTTATACCATGTTTCTCATCCCACCCTCCATTGTATATGTTTTGCCAGTGCCAGTCTGTCCATAGGCAAAGACAGTACAGTTGAAACCATCAAGTACTTCATTAACAATTGGGGCAATAGCTTGATCATATATTGTTCTTTGCTGGGACTTGGGGCCGAAAACCTTGCAAGTTTTAAACAAAGTCCAATTAATCCTGTGAATTTGAACAAACCTAATAAGATGGCCATTTTCATAACATTGAAGATGGAGCATTACCTTGTCAAAAGTGAAAACTCTGTCTACTTGCTTGTTAGCTACATTTTGCAAAACGGTAACTTCCCTTTTAAGTTCATTACACGAAATCACTCTCGGAACATTCGTCCTCTGCTCATCCTCGCTTAACGGCCTAAAACCCAGATTCATCAAGGGAAAAAGAATATACTGGAGTAAATCATTTTAAAAAAAATATAGTAAACAATAGATAAATCAAATAGAGAAACTAAAATACCTGCATCTAAGAAGCACTTGGACATTAACCTCTTTATCCCTATCTTGGCGATTAGAGAGCCAATCAGTTCCTCTAGAATCAGGACGACGTCGTTCAGGGCGGGGAGTGAGGAAAGGAGACGGAGATGGTATTAATCCTCCCATCGCAGTTTTTCTAAACTGATCTGGAGTGAGCGACATCGTTTCTTCGTTGTTTTTGTTTTGAAAACCTAATCAAATGATTCCATGTTTACTGAAACTGAAACAAATGTGTGTATTGAAAAATATTATGAATTTCAAACTAAAAGTCTTACCTGCTTCTGCTTCCTTTACGAGAAACCAAACCTTTTGAAGGAGAATCTGAGATGCAATTTGCAAAGATGATTAGTTTTTTCTTTCTTTTATTTGGCTTTGTAGAAGTGAAAATTGGGTTGTTCGATTGTCCTTTTTTAATTTGATATTTTTTTTACTAGCAAGTATATATTTGGCAGCAGCAGCGTGTGTTCTCCCAACGGTTACATGGGGGATGTAAGAGCCGTTGGAATTCGTTGGCCCATTCAAATTCAAATAACACGCTTTTGAATTTTGATTGCATCCATTATGTATTTATGTTGTTACTTATTAATATGTTTGTTTTATATACAGATATTCATACTTTCAGGTAGGGGTGCGCAAATCTAGGTACCCGGATTTTTAAGTATCCGATTACTGGGTGCTAGCAACATTCGAGTCGGTGATTTATCGGTCCGTATCTCGACTCAGATGTTGCGGGTACTCGGATTTTCGGGTACCCGCAACATCCGGGTCAGTGATCTCTCGGCACGTATCTCGACCCAGATGTTGCGGGTACCCGATAATCGAATACCTATTTTTTTTCATTTTCAAATTATTAATTTAAAAAAATATACACAAATTTAAATATTCGAAACCTCGAATTACATACTCTAACATCTTAACATAAAATTTAAAAGTTTGAAATACAAAATCTAATAATTCATAATATAAATAATCTAATCTATTATATATTATATATATAATAAAATAAAATAAAAAAACAAAAACTAATCTGGTACTCGGGTACCCGGAAAAACTCAATTTTGTTACCCGGACCCGACCCGGAAAATGTCGGGACTAGCACCCGACCCGATCGGGTAATTTTTTTTAAAATATACCCGGTTTTTTTAAGTTCGGGTTTGCGGGTCGGATATTTTTACACACCCCTAAATTCAGGAACTTAAAAATGAAGCTATTAGTTTTATCATGCACTTAATCATAGTGAAAATAATCGGTTAAAATATAATATTTAAATTTAAATAATTACGTTTGTAAGATAATATATCGTTTGTTTGAAAGCTAATTGGATTAGATCATATGTTTTGTATTTGATTTGTGTACCTATACTACTTAGTTATCCAACCCATAGTCTTCACTTTTTGAATAAAAAGTTTAATATTAACAGACATAACATTGGATTTGTATATGTTGAACCGATTCCTAATTAAAATGATAAAGACCTATTAACTTTTAATGCAGGAGAAAATGACTTTTAGCCCATTTTGTTGATTTTAATTGCTTGTATTTAAAAAAAAATCCCCATGAGAATGATAAAAAAAACATGCAAAATTTTACATGAGCAATGCAACTAAAATATTAAATTTTAATAATTTAAAATCTCTAGAAAAAACAACCCTATCCTTTAATTTGAATTCTAATAATTTACACCGTTAAAAATAGAGATGGGCATGGGTCTGATTTTTTGTTCACCCGACCCGACCCTAGAAGATGGAATCTTCCACCCGAATCCTGACCCGACCCGACCAAATCAAGATTCCACCCGACCCGACCCCGACTCGTTATATAACTTAAAAATATAACCCGACCTAACCCGAAATAATAAAAAATATTATTTTTATTCAATAAAAACAATGACTTAATTGGAAAAAAATATATATATAGAAGGATATTATTGTAATTATTCCTAAATATATAAGATAAAATTATATATTTTTCCGGGTCAGGTTAAGTATTTTTCACCCTAAACCCGAACACAACCAGACCCGAATAACACATTAAAAAACCCAACCTGACTCGAACCCGGTTTTTTTTTTAAAAAACAGATCCGATCAGGTCAGGTCGAAACCCGTCAGGTTCAGATCCTATGTCCATCCCTAGTAAAAATCCAGAATCTCTAAAAATAACAACCCTATCTTATCTTTACCGGCGAAACTGTTGTTCAATCTATTGATATAAAATTATCATTTTAATTTCATTTATGGAGTTAAAAATACTTTTACTCTAGAAGGATTAAATCCTCGTATGGAGTTAATAAGAAATTATTTGCATGATTTGTCTAATCAAATTAAAACAACCTAGGAAAGTAATCAATTATTTGACCAAAAGAACAACCGTGTTAATGATGGAAAAGCCTCAAATCAAATAAAATTCATGAGCTTAGCAATATTAGAATCATCACACCGCAACTGATCCGTAAAACACTGCTTCGGCCGGGCCTGTCATGTACACATGATTGTCTTCCTCCTTCCATTCAATCTCTAACGGACCTCCAGGTAAATCCACCGTGCAACTCTATTTCACAAAATCAATTATCAAGTAACTCATTAACTGAAAAAAAAATAGAAGACATAATGTCAAAATTAGTCTCCCATCGTTTACCAAAATAATCATTTTAACCCATATTTGTTTTGGGAACACGTTTCAATTTTGGGTAAAAAGACCTCTATAGACGAAAATTGTTACTTAACAAACAGTCAACACTCCAAAATATGAGCCTTTTTGTCCTAAAATGAAGGGTTGAGGGCCAAACTGCTCTAGAAACAAAGAATAAGGGTCAAAATGACTATTTGATCAAACATTAGGGGCCTTTTTACCCTAAAATGAAATATTAGGACCAAAATGCTCTAAAAAAGAATGGGACCAAAATGACCATTTTGATAAACGTTGGGGGCTAATTCTGACATTATGACAAATAAAAAACGAAAAGACCCTCACTTTTGCGGTTGGAATATCGAATTCCAACTCTTTGCCATAAGAAAACATGTGAAATACTTTTGAGATGAAGATACCTCAGTGTCTCATCTCATGCACATAAGCTGATTGACCTTATTTCGCTAACGCAATATAAACATCACGTGGGAAAACTTACCCTTCCGGCACGTCCTTCAAGAACAGCAGCAACAACCACAGCACAAGCTCCGGTTCCACAAGCCAGTGTTGCTCCTGAATGGCGATTGAAATGAGCTTTTAACAAGAGCAAAACCTAACCCAAAATGATACCCCATTTTATACATGAACATGATAGATAAAGCTAACCTGCTCCACGCTCCCATACACGCATTTTCAAGTGCTCGTGAGAAAAAACTTCCACAAATTCTAACCAGAGAAGAGACAACCATGGTTAGAGAGTGGATTTGCTTAACAAAAGGAGATAAATGACAATCATGCAATAGGAGAATCATTTCATCACCAACGAAAAGCATGAAGCTGTGATAATAGATGTTATCCGTAGAATTGATCGCAGAATATATCTCAGATGATAGATAATAACAAACCTGTGTTAGTCCTAGCTGGGAACATTTCATGCTGCTCAAATTTAGGACCAATCGCTGCTAAATTGAGTTCATCCACAGTCAAATTCTGCTCGATCACAATCATTAAGCAAAAAAAAGATATATCAGAAATGCAAATGAGGAGAGGAGGACGAACAAGAAATATGTATTTCAAGAAACCAGTCAAGGAATCCATTTCCTTCTAGAACAAGTAATTAAATGGAAGCAAGAGACAATTTAGCAGGTGCTGATGAATAGTTTGTTATAGTTGTACAAGATTGGCAAGAGCAAGCAGCTCTTTTAACTGTTCCTCGTATTTTTTTGGGTAAACTATGCAGATAGTCCCCTATGTTTTCGGTTTGACCGACTTTGGTCACTAATTTAAAAATTAAGGGAGAATAATCCCTAACATTATCGATTCGTACAATTTGTCTCTGACATTATCAGTCCGTTAGATTTTAGTCCCTTAGCTGTTAACTTCTGTACGATTTTAGTCGCTCATCTATGTTAGGGACTTAAACAAAAGGGGGTTAACGAAAATTAATGGTTGAGGGACTAAAATCGAATGAATCGATAATGTTAGGGACCATTTCCCCTAATTTTTAAGTTGATGACCAAAGTCTATCAAACCCTGAACATAGGGGACTATATGCATAGTTTACCCTATTTTTTTAAGGCTTTAACCAGAGGGTGAAAGGTTTATGATACTCCTCAAGCAAATAATTGACTGTATATCTGGACAGTATATACTGAGCAAAATTATTCAAATATTGCAGAGTACATATAATTACAAATAGTTAATATAAGTATAAGCTCCACGTTAATCTTTTCATCAATCATTATCCCAAAACAAACCTGGCTTTCTTTGTTGCCAAAAGTTATACAATGTGGATTTCCCATACTAACGCAAGTAACATTCCAAATTACTCCATCTACATTAAGATCAGATTTAACAACAGCTTGATCTTTATTAGCTGGTAACTTTGTAGGAACATCCAATGCTTTAAGAATTGGTTCGCCCATATCAACTTTAACCTGAGATTATATTGCTTAAAGTTAGATGCATTAAGCACCATATACAAAGTACTGTAACGTATAGGGTTCCAATAAAATACCTTCCCATCTTCTTGAATTTCAGGAACAATTAAACCCGCACCAGTATGCACAGTAAAACTGCATAAATTTAGGAAAAGAGAATGAAACTCCAAAGAAAAACTGTTCTTTTTAACAATGAAGTTGCGCTTACGGGCAAAGAGAAAAAAATTGCTTCAAACAACTGCATAAAGCAAAATTATGACAGTCCAAAGAATATAACACGCCATTATCTGCACCTTTGCTTCCCATGTAAATTCTCAAGTTCAGCAATGAATCTGGCAAAGCAGCGTACACCGTTGCCACACATCTATAAGAACAAATATTAATTAAAAACGTAAACGAAAATTCTAATTTCACCCAAAAAAACACTCTATCCAAGAAACCACTCGATATTAAATTTTAGTGATTCAACCAGAGAAGCAAAATCGAAGTGACAACCCAAGACTCTGCTGGTTTTCACTTAAACTACTAGATTTTAGCTTCGATAAAAAAAGGCAAAAAAAGCATTTTGATTCAGAATTGACAAAGTAGATTCTTCACTAAATGAATTATACATTTCAAACTTTTTTATGAAAAGGATGCCCCCATTAACAAAACACTCTCCAAAGACAACAAGTGGAAAAGAGTGCACCTGTCATGGTTAACTCATTAATCATAGATGAATCAATAAAAATCCACAGACCAAAAAAAATGGTGAAATATGCCACCATGTAAAATGATTCTCAGTACCTAAAGACGCATATTTGGCTATGGCCCAGTTAATCACCAGATCTCAAGATATGCTTGAACAAGATAAAACCAAAGCTGCTAGCAATCTCCTTATTATCACTAATTAGACTCCCCAGGCTTGACACAATACAATAACTATCTGTAAGGTATGTAGTAGTTATCAAAGAATTGCTTTCAACTTGTTTTTACATTTAATGTTCTGTTTCGATTTCAATCAAATATATTCACTAAGATATAGTTCTTTTAACAACTTTTGAATCACAAAAGACTGATTACCTCAGGCTCGCTGCCATCAGAGTTGAAGATTCGCATAGTATAATCCGTACCGTTGACTCCCGGCATTGCAAAAATCACTCCATCAGCACCTATACCAAAGTTCCTATCGCACAACTTCGCCGCTTGCTCTGGCGTAATCCTCGGTTCTGTCGAGTCCCTACTATCAACCTATGCCAATAAACAACAGTTTAGTTAAGATAATTTCGCACAGAATTTTCTAAGCTACAATAGAAATAATTAAGAGAAATTACCAAAATGAAGTCGTTTCCAAGGCCGTGATATTTGACGAAGTGAAGGAATCCACTTTCCCTTCGGTCAAGGAACGACGTCTTGGAGATTTTCTCCGGCGTTCCGATTCTCATGGAAGAAGCAGAGACTCGAAAGTTGGGGTTTCTAAGAGAATAAACGTTAGAGCGGAGGGAATCCAAAGGAAGATTACAAATTGATCGAAGAGGAGCGGCGACCGAGGTGGAGAGACGGGGAGCTTGTGTGGGGAGAGTGAGGGAAATGGAGGCGGCGGTGGCCATAAGAGTTTTGCTTTGTTTGCGGTAACGTTTTCACAGTCAAAATTTGGAAAGGGCAACTGATTTTTTGTCTTCTTTTTCTTTTAATGTAAGGAGGTGGTGGAATCGAATGCGGATTGTCAATCGTGGAACCCGTATGAACGGGCGGATCAAGTTTTCGTGATCATGAGAAAACTTTTGGGATGGATATTCAAGGGTAGGTACGTAAATGAGACGAGACAAATCGTGAGCTACTCGAGATAGATTCGGTCAAGTTTCGATAAATACTTGGATTGAATAAACTCGACTTGAGTTCGAGCTCGACTTGAATTCTTAACGAGCCGAAACGAGCTACTTGATACTCAATTCGAAAAGCTCGTGAGCAACTTGAAAATATAATATATTAAGATTTTATTTTTTAAAAAATAAATTATTAATAATATTAACATTTATGTGTTGATTTTTTTTAAAATACAGTAAGGTTTTCATATATTTAAGGTTCGAGTTCGAGTTTGAGGCTTCAATCTAGTTAGGTTTAAGATTTTTTTTCACTTCAAACCTTTTCGAGTTCGAGTCGAGCTTAAAATTTTTGAACTCGCGAGTTTTTGGGTTGAGTCGAGCTCCATTTCAGAGTTTTCGAGTCGAGTCAAGCTCGACTCGTTTACACCCCTATTCACGGGTGCGTAAACTCCGATACCCGATATGATTTCATTTGAAATTTTTGGCCATCTAAAAGTTTTAGATATTTAAAATAGTGATCCCTGTACCATTGAAAATATTACATATCCGAATTTGATTTGAAAATTTTGGGTATCTAAACATTTTGGATATTTAAAATAGTGATCCATATACGATTGAAATTATTACATATCCAAATTTTATTTGAAAATTTTGGGCATCTAAAAGTTTTGGATATTTAAAATAGTGATCCCTGTAAGATTAAAAATATTACATATTCGAATTTTTAGATTGAGTAGTTAAATATCTGAATACGAATATAAAAGTTTAATTTGACAAAACATAATTTTATATTTTATGTTTTGTGATTTAATGCAATTTATTTGATACCTCTACTATGTTATATATATATATATAATTTACTCACATACAATAAATAATTAAATATCCTAATTTTTATTGGGTTAAAGCTTTAATATGTTAGAGTTACTCATTTATTGTGCTAAAGTGTATGTAAAATCTAAAATCTCAATTTTTCTCTCCGAATTTTCGGATAATTCGAAATTGGAATTCATTCGACCCGTATCCAATATGATTATCCAAATTCTTTTCAGATATCTAATCTGAATTATCCAAAAAACTAAAAAAAAACAAATCGAATATTCAAATTTTAACATACAAAAAATATAAATTTATTTTTTAACTTTTAAGAAATATTAATAATAATTTTATTATTGTAAATTTAATTTTAAAAGAAGTGGAATGATTTTAAATTAAATTTATTGAATTCAATATAATTTTTGATGAGATAAATATTAAATTTATGGTTAAAAGATAAAATATGAGTAATCTAAAAGTTTTAGAGTTCAAACGTTGTCGTTGACGACGATCAGCAATGATCGACAGTGGTCGAAGAGAGTGACGTGTGATGATAGATTGTAGATGACTTAAAACGAATTCATATATCAAATGGATATTTTATCTAAAATTTACGGTCAAAATGATATTTTATACAAAGTTTAAGAGTTAAATTAAAAATTTACATTTTTTTCACTAATGTGTTATTGCATCAAACTAGAGCTAGCGGCTCAAGGACTAAAATATAACAATCAATAACATAAAGGATTAAATTTTAATAAATTGGTAATATAAATAATTGAAATACATTTTTTTTAAAATTAGATCATAAAAATGAATAAAAATTCAGGTAGGTTACTGTTTGGGGTAACTTTTACGCAGCTTTCTAATTTGAATTTAAAGAAATTGGATTCAGCTCCAGGGAAGTTATGCCATACGCAGTCTTAATATATGGTTAAAGAAATGTGCTATCGGAAATGTTATTATTTTTTAATATTTTCAGTAAAAAATTAATTAAAACATTATTTTTTTTACCTAAAACATTAATCTTTTTAATATTTTCGGTAAAGTGTCCAATATTAACATTTCTGGTAAAAAAAATAATGTTTTACTCACATACATTAAAGTAATAATGGGCGCACGATAGCAAGTTTCTCTGGGCGTATGTTAGCTGGCATAACGGATCGGAGACTTCGTGGTGCTCCTCTAGTGTGTTTTACGTATTTCATGGTCTGTTATACCTGGTAGTCTTCTCCTATCTCTTCAGCATGGATTGGAGGAAACTTTTCACATGTCAATCTGGGCAGGAACTTAAATTATTTCCCCCTAAATCTTGAGACCCCAAACTGGTTATCCATCCTCCTCCAGAAGTCTTCGAAGAGGGAATTGCTGAATGGAAATCTTCTCTGGTGGGGCAATTTCTCGGGGCTGTTTCAAAATTTTCCACAATGTAGAAGATTGTTGAAAATCTGTGGAATAACCCTTCGAAAGAGACTCGAGTCCAGGTCAGTTTGGCTGGTAGCAATCTATATTTATTCTCTTTCAATTCGGTTTCAGCTAGGGATTGGGTACTGAAAATGGCCCTTGGCACATACTAAACAAGCCATTAATCTTAAGGAAATGGGAGCCTAATCTTACAAGATTACACTTCGATCTGTCTCAAATACCATTATGGGTGCATCTCTATAATGTGCCTCTCGAGTTATTTTCGAGAGATTGATTGAGTTATTTATCTATTGTCATTGGTAATCCTCTTACTATGGACTCCATTACTGCCTCTAAAACTATATTAGAATTTGCAAAAGTTTGTATTGAGGTAGGAGTTCAAGATGTAATTCCTCGAACTGTTGATGTTGTTCTGGCAAATGGGCAGATTGCCACGATCTTTGTGGAAGTTCTTTGGCTCCCAAAAAGCTGTAAGAGTTGCAATTCTTTTGGGCATAGTGAGAAAAGATTTTTAATCAAACCAAGTGTAAAACCTGCTCCTCCACAGATTTGGAGGAAGAAGAGTGTTTCTGCTACTAGTTCTGATATTAAACCCAATTAAACTTCTAATTCTTCTCTGAATCCTGAACCTATTGTCTCTCTTTCTCTAAAAGAGAAACTCAATAGTGATTATGTCCCCTCAAATTAACCTTTTTGCTCATATCTTGAAATCAAAGACAATTCTACTAATACTTCTATCTCTAATCTGACAGAAGTGATCTTAAAGCCAGATATTACAAATGTTGTTAACAATTCCCTTACTCCTTCCTTAAACCTTAATGACTTTTCTGTTGAAGACTTGCCTTCTTCCCCTATTCAATCAGAACCCTCTGATAAAGGGAACAATGTTCCAACTGTTCCAAAGAGAGGTAGAAGAATACCTGTTAAGGTTAAATCTAAACTTGCTCTTAAAGGTTCCTCCAACAGATTTGAAATTATTAATTCTGTCGATGAGAATTCCCCTTCATTAGAGGAACAAAGTAAGAAACCTCGGGCTGCTGCTTCGGGTGTGGCTTTACTTATCAAGGATCTTAAAACTAAAAAGAAATAGCAAATAGGCAAAGTTAAGAGTAACTCTGATAGAGTTAGTGGGGGTGTCTCAGCTTCTTCATCCCAATGATTGTTTGTTTTTGGAATGTCAGAGGATTAAATCATCCTCAAAAACAAAATAAAATCCTGCTTAGGGAAAATCTGTATAAAGTTGGTGTTCTTTGTTTGATAGAGACTAGAGTAAAAGCAAAAAAATTTGAAGATTTAATTAAGAATAAGTTCAGCAATTAGAATTTTTGTTTTAACTATGATTATGCTTTCAATGGTAGAATATGGATCCTTTGGAAAAAAAGATTTGGCTTTTTGTTTTTGTCATGCCTCTGCCCAATGTATCTCTGTCAAAGGGCATTTTAATGGTATTCCTTTTGCCATCTCTGCTATCTATGGAAATAATGATGGAATTCAAAGAAGACTTCTTTGGCAACACCTTAGAGACATTGACTCTAGCTATGGCTCCTACCCTTGGATTCTTGGTAGAGACTTCAATATTTTCCTCAATTCTAATAAAAGCTCTGACCATGATATTCTGGGTCCTTATTCCTCTACTGATATGAATGAATTCAAAGAAACTCTCAATGACCTCCTTCTCCATGATCATCCATTTTTTGGGCCAACTTACACTTGGAGCAACAAACAGAATGAGACTTTTCTTGCTAGGAAAATTGACAGAGTCCTTATAAATTCATTTTGGGTTACTTCTTTTCTGAATTCTTCTGTTGAATTTATGGCTCCTAGTCCTTCTGATCATTGCATGGCCATTGTTTGGCTTAACAAAACTGCTCATTTAAATTACCCTTAGCCTTTCAAATTCTTCAATGTCTGAACTACCCTTCCAAACTTCCTGACTGAAGTACAACAGTCTTGACAGCTTCCTGTTTAAGGAAATCCTATGACAACTCTTTTCCTAAAGCTAAAATGGTTTAAGGCTTATTTGAGGACTATCAACAAGAAGCATTTCAGCAACATCTCTGATAGGGTGAAACAAAAGAAAGTTGAGCTTGAACAGCTCCAGCTTTTAACTCTTAAGGGGAATAGTTCCATTGACACTGCGCTGAGAATTCAAAATGAACTTTCTTCCCTTGAAGCTGATGAAACCATGTTTCTCAAATAAAAATCTAAAATACAGTGGCTCAAGGAGGGGGATAAATGTACAAAATTTTTCCACTCTATTATTGCCTCAAGAAACAAAAAAGAAACCATTAGAGCTCTTAAGCAGATTAGAAAGCTTTGATGATATGGCATTTGAACTTATTGAATTCTTTAAAAAAAACAGTTGGGAATTGTTGACATCAATGTTATTATCACTGATCCTACTACCCTGAAAAATCTGCTCAATCTAAACTTGCCTAGAGATGCACTTGCAAATTTAGGGAAAAATATTACTGTTGAGGAGATAAAACAAGCTTTCTTTATTCAAGGAAATGATAAAGCTCCTGGCCGAGAAGAGTATTCTCCTTTATTCTTTAAGAAGTCCTGGACTGTTATTGGAGAGGGTGTT